ATTGTCTCCCGAAGTTTTCGGAGCATTTCGTCGAATTCTCGATGGTTTGCGGGGGTGCCCAGACGTTTCCAAATTTGGAGGGTCGCGAGTCGCACCGCAGGTCGAGGAGAAGAGGGAAGAGGCGCGCACGGTGCAGGATCCTGCTCTCCGGCACGCCCGTGCAGAACTCGCTCCAGGACCTCTGGTCCCTGATGGACTTCGCACAGCCGGGTCTCCTGGGCAGCCAGGCGACCTTCTCGAAGCACTTCGCGGAACCCATCGCGCAGGGCAGCGTGCGGGGCGCCGACGCCTTCGCGGCGGGGCTGAAGAGGCACCTGTCCGAGCAGCTCTGGCAGCTGGTCAGCCCGCACCTGCTGCGCCGCACGAAGCTGAGCGTGGGGCTCCTCCCCGCACCGGGGCCCGGCGGCGGCCCGAGCGCTGCGCTGGCCGCCGCCGGCGACCCGGAGGGCGCCGGCGGGCCCCTGCCGCCCAAGCTCGAGACGGTGATCCGCGGGGCCGCCGCCGCCTCCGCCGACCTACCGCCCGCCCCCGCCGCAAGGGCCCCCCCCCCAAGGGCTCGTCGAGGCGTCCCTGATCGCAGGCGATGTTTCTCCCCCAGCCCCCGGCTTTTCGACGAAAAATGAGGCCGCTCAGAAAAGGAGGGAAACCGTGGGATGCACGCCATGGCGGGCTATTCGGACGCACCCCTATCGAGGGCGGACGCCCACCCATCGTATATCCTAGGGTTGGGCCCCAAATTTCAAGTCCATTCGAAAACCGCCCAAAGCCTGGGATAGGAGTCGACATATCCCCTGTTACCTGAAAAGAGCGCGGCGGCGGGCCGCTGCTGTTCCGAGCCTGGGCCTCCGGGGGGCACCTGTGACCCTCAGCACTTGGTGCCTGGGGCAGAAAAGAGGCGCAGCTCCAGGGGCACAGGCTGCGGGAAAGTCATGGCGTCGCATGTTGTCTGCGTCCTCCTCCTCCTCCTCCTCCTCGCCCTCCTCCTCCTCCTCCTCCTCCTCCTCCTCCTCCTCCTCCTCCTCCTCGTCCTCCTCTCCCTCGCCTCTCTCCTCCCCTCCCTCCTCCGCCCCCCCTCCCCGCCAGCGTGCCCCGGCGCCACGCGGCGGGGCCGCGGATATGGCTGATGCCCGCCGAGCGCCAGCTCACAGCGTACCGGGTCCCCGCCCCCGCCGACCCCCCCCCTTTTCAGAGGCAGCGATACGGGGGTTGGGCTGAGGGGGGGATGCATCGACCCCCAATCGCCCATTGACCATTGATCGTCGATACGGGCCCGATGGCCCACCCGCCCAGGACCGTACGGATTCGCTCTCGGTGGCCTATCGCCGATTCATCAGCGATGTCTCGCCGACTCCAGGATGATGTTTTCCCCCCTGCGCCAGTCCCCCCCCGATCGTTGCCCCCCCCACCCCCCGCTTTTGGCGCGCGCCGGCACGGCGTCCGCCCTGCGCGCGCGGTGCCGACTGGGAGTTGTGCGGGGAGCTCGCCCCGAGACTCGGCGACGTCGAGCCTGGGCCTTCTCTTCCCTCTCGGCTTCAAGAGGCCGCTTCTCGGTCTGCAGCGGGAAGAGCCCGTCCCCGGGAAAGGGGTCGCGAGGCACGGGGCCTCAAGATTCGAGGGCATCGAGTCGTCGGAGGTTTTGAGGTGGGCGCGTGGGGGCAGCGACAGCCTGGCAACCGTTGAATTGTCCTCGGCTGGTCTCGGATCCTAGCTGCCCTGATCCGCCCGTGTTGAAACGCAGCACGTAACTACCGTGTTCGTAACGTCCTTGTTAATTAACACGCTGGGTGTTGACTCAACGTGTTGGCCCACGTTTTGGCGCACGTATCTCGCGCCAAACGTACGGTCTCAATCTCCGTGTTGAGCTCCGTGTCAGCACGCTCGTGTTGTGTGTTGCGTTGTTATCGGGACAGCTAAACCTTTGATGCCCCAGAGAGTCTGCATGGAGCTTAGGACAGCCTCGGATGATCTCGCGCGCAGCGCGGGCGGCTAGGTGAGGGGGGGGCAGAGAAGGTTCCCCATACTGTCGAGTTCTTGATGGCAGCGATCCAAAATTTGGTGACGGTGTCGACCCAACACATGCCCTGGATGCGAAATGCTGAAGTCTGTGATCTTCCTTTTGGCGATGGCGCCTTTGGTGAACCAATAAGTGCCCGCGGTGCGAAATCGAAATGTGGCAAGGGGACGACATAATATTCGCTCGCCAGCGGAAACCTAGGTTTCGCATTGTTCAATTGTGGCAGTGGCGTCCCCAAGAACTACCCGCGGAACAAACTAAGCGAACTATAAGAAAGTAGGAGTGGGTTCGACACCAGTGGGGAGGAGTGAGGAGAAAGAGAATGGACGTGAGGGGGGGCGAGGGAGGGAAGGACAGAAGGAAAAAGAACACACATTGTTGTGCTGGCTTCGCTTGGCGCAGGGCGTGTCAAAGCGGAAGCGGGTATGAGTCGACTTGAGCCAGATCGACTGGCGGGGTGGCCTCTGTCTCACGTGCGGGCGCAGAAAAGGGGTTGAAGGTGCAGCTGGATGTGCATTGAGATTATCCAGAAGGAGGGGCCGGCGGAATGTCTGAGTGATGTGATGGTGTGTTGGATTTGCTGCCTTTTATGTATGTTTTGTGCGTTCGCTTGCTCGAAGGTCATCTTGGACAAAATCGGTATCGTCAGAGACGCCATGTCCAAGGCAGAGCATCGTTCTCTCCCTCTCTCTCTCTCTCTCTATTTGCTTATAGCTCTATCTCTCTGTAAACATGTATATAGGTAGATCGTTCCTTATGCATCTCTCTCTCTCTCGTTCTCTGCAACGTTTGCCTTCTTCCCCCTCTGTGCCCATCAGTCCATCATAGCGTTTCTTCTCCTCGCCATGTTCATCTCCCCCGTGCTGTTATGTTCGGCTCGCCGCCTTCTCTTCCACATCTGTTCTCCTCCCTCGTCGCTCCTCCGTTCTCCCTCCTCGCTCATCCCCCCTTCTGTCGGCGGCGAGCGAGGGGGGGGAAGTAAGAAGGAGAAGGCCTTTTCAGAAGGCCGCGGGACTTCTCAGAAGCCCTCGTGCCCCTGATCCTCCCCCCTCGTGCTCCCTACTCTTCATCCTCTGCTCCCTTCTCCCCTTGCCTACTCGTCCCTCTTCCTGATCCTGGAGAAGTTCACTCGTGTCCTCCTGAACAGGCGAAGCGCGACGGCCGGTCAGGCTGGTCCCTCGGCTACCCCAGGAGGGGTGGGGGAGAAAGAGGGAGGGAAGAGGAGTAGGATGAGAGGTGGTCTGATGTGTCGGTGGTTGTCGGGAGCTCTTCTTTTCCGTGCTGTTTTTAGAATCATCCGGTTGGTTTGTTGGAGGTGCCCCGAGCTCTGGCCAAAAACAGGCAAGACCAGGAACATGTCAGCGTTTTCCCTCTCGTCGCTCCGCCCTCCCGGTCAGCACTGCTTTGGCCCGGCCCGTGGATTCTGACACCTGGAGTTCCCCAAAGCTCCTATGGGAGGCACCTGGAGGCCCGCAAGAGTCGAGACCTCTCAAGTCGGGTTCGAGTAGACGGGGTCGGAGGATCGCGCCGCATCGCTAATGCATGTATCAGCGATGCGGCTCGGTTTGGGGCCCAATTTTTCTCCAAGCCATCGTCGCTGACGCGTCGCCGACGTCGCCGATGCACCGGCGATGCATCGGCGATGCACCACGAGCTTCCGACCCCATCTATTCCGACCCCATTTGGGAGGCCTCTAGAGAGGCACAGGACCGAAAGCGTCCGAATACATCGCCCCTCGATCCACCGAGCACCCCGTCCTCGCCCCGAGGCCAGGCTCGGCGTAGACGTGTTCCGGGCCATCGGCCTGCTGAGGCAGTTGTGCAACCACCCAGCCCTGGCGGAGGGCTCCTGGAGGGAAGGCTGCCGCCGCCCGCGGCGCCCCGCGTCCCTAGAAGGAGGACGAGGACGCGGATGGACGTACACCAGCCGCCGCAAGTGCGGTGGTGGATACTTGGAAATCTCATGTTGGTAAGACTTCGGGTTGCGCGCAGACAGGCCCCCCAGGTAGTCCCGGCTGGCCGCAGTAATCCCCCCGAGCAGTCCCAGCTTACCTTTACAGGCTCCCCGAGTAGCCCGTGCGGAGCGCCCCAGGGGCGCCGCCGCAGGCGGCGCCAGGGTGTTGAGAGGGCCTCAGACTGCTCGGCGGGCGTGTTGAGGCAAGCTGGGACTACTCGGGAAGGCCTGCTGAGGCCAGCCGGGACTACTTGAGGACTTGTCTGTGCACAACCCGAGGCCTTACCACGTAGAGCAGAATGCAGAATCTAACAATCATCAATCAGGATCGTTGCCTTGCAGGTAAATCGTTAAACATGTCAAGTAGATGGGTGGTTGCAGTCCCACTGGACTCGGCGCGGGTAAACGTGAATCGGAGTGAGTGTTTCCCGCAGGGGGTGTTGCTGGTGCCATCTTCTGCTGTATTGCAGTGCCCATGGTGAAGCAGTCTTGTATTGCCTCCCGCCCAGGCAGTACCTCACTGCCCAACCCAGTCTAGTCCTAGCCAGGTCAGCCCTTGCTTGTCAGGTCCACTCAGTGAGCCCAGCGATCACAGACCAGTCGAGTTCAGTCCAGTGCGGCCCAGAGCAGACAGCTTAGCCCAGCTCCCTCCAATCCAGCTCAGTCAATTCCAGTCCAACCCCAATCAGAGCCCAGCCTGGACCCTTCCAGTCCAGGCCAGGCGGACCAGTGATGCTACTCCACTGAAGCCCAGTCCATTGTAGCACGCCCCGTCAGTCAAGCCCAGTCCAGTCCCGACTTGCACAGTCCAGTCCCATCCATCCCACTCCAGCCATTTCAACCCAGTCCAGTCCACAAGAGCAGCCCTGGGTCTAGCCCAGTTCTGCCCACAGAAGCACAGTCGAGAATATTCCAGCCCAGCCGAGTCCAGTCCATTGCGGGCCTGGTCGCGCCCAAGTCAGCACAGACCAGACCCGCCCAATCCAGTCCAACCGAGCCTAGCCCAGCCGAGCACAGATCATTCCAGGGACCAGTTTTGAGTCGATCATGGTTCGAAGGAAACTAGAGTGTTTCAGCGTATTCTCTCGGATGTCATGCGGACGAGCAGGTCCGTCGCCATTGGGTCAAGCCGGATTAGGCTGAGGTGTTAATCTCGGCATCGGTCAAGCCTGCGGCGTCAAGCCCCAGGCGGCGGCCATGGGCAGGCGCTACGCAGCCGCGGATGCTTTCGCAGACCCAGCGGTGTGCCTGGAGGTCGCAACCTTTTTTGGTTCTGTGGAGGCCTTCGCCACCCTCTCCGCTTCCACGCTGCCAGCGTGTCGACAAGCCTCGCGGCTGCTGCGGATGCCATACTTGTACGCGCTTGTCGGTGGTGGGTTGAGGTGCTCATCTGCAACGCCCTGGCTGGGATCGTGCTGGTCGGGTGTGCGCATCAATCTTGGGACAGGCAGGCCCGAGAGGCTGCCGCCCACTCTGAACGGTGCCGCCAGGGTAGCAGGCGCTGTGCGCGTCGTGGAGGCCGATGGTCACGTGTTCGTCCTGACAGAGCTTATTCTAAGGCACAAGAAGGGCTTTGCGCTGGAGGCCTTCGACCCCCGCAGGCGCACGTGGGAGGAAAGGATCCCGAGGCGTCAGGGAGAGCCCGACCTGCTCGTGCAGGGTGACGGCAGCCTCTTTCTGTCCTACAACTCCGAAGTCGAGGGGCCCAGGGGCAGCACCTTGGAGCTCAACTTCTGCCGCTACGACGTCCTGTCCGGGGAAGCCGAGGCCCTGCCCCCCATCCCCACGCTGCGCTGCGGGGGCGGTCACTGCGTGCTGGAGGGCGCGCTGTACGTGGCTGGGGGCTACAGATTCCCCGACGGTGCGGGAGCGCTGCCGGCGCTCGCGGACTTCGACCGCTTTGTCCCCGCCAGGCGCGCTTGGGAGCGGCTCCCTCCGATGCCCACGCCGAGGTTGCTATGCCGGGCCGTGGCGTCTGGCGGCTGCGTCTACACCGTGGGGGGCCTGGGGCCGCAGGGTTGGAGCGCGTTGGAGCGGTTCGATCTGTTGGAGGGCGCCTGGACTTCGCTGGCGGCTCTGCCGACGCCCCGCAGCCCGTCTGCGCAGGTGCTGTCATGCCAAGGTTCTATATATGTCTTTGGCGCCGCCGCCGGCACGCCCTCCAGGGAGCTGCTGGTGGAGCGCTTCGACCCCGGCGCGGGGCGCTGGAGCCGGCTGCGGAGCCTCGACGGCCACGAAGGTGAATCTGGTATCGAATCGGGAGTGAAGGCGGTGTGCTACCAGGACCGCGTGTTCACCATGCGCGCGCAGGCCGGGGGGCGCGCGAAGAGCGCCCGCGAGCCGCTGCAGGTTGTCGTGGAGGAGTACTGCGAGCGGCGGAGCGCAGACCGCGAGCTCGCCAGGCTAACGGCCCTCCATGGGCATTCGGGCCTGGCCGTGGCCACTGGGCCGGAGTGAGCACTCTTTCCAAGCCGTGGCCACTGGGTCTGAGTGGAGCTCTGCCCCGTGTTTCTCCCATGGGGGTCGTGTCGCAGCGTATCCATGACACCTGCGTCCTCCTGATTTGCAGCCCCCGTGTATACGTTGGGAAGGCCTTACGGCCAGTGCCGCCGACCCTGAAGGGAGACGGCGGCGGCGGCGGCTACGACGACGACGATGCCACTGACGCTCTGGAGCCCTTCTTCGGCTCTCTTGGGAGCCCATTGGGCTCTTTTCGCGGGCCTCTTGGGGGACTTGTTAGGAAGCTCCGTGGCCACTTGGAGCCGCCTGGGAGCAGATCTGAGGCCTCTTGGAGTCACGTAGGAAAACACCGCAGCACCCCGCAACAGCAGATAAGAGTGAGGAGGATGCCTCTAGGGGGGGGGGTCTGGGATGAGGGGCGGATGGTTGTAAAAAGGGGGGAGGCGGGGGGGAGGGTTCCTGAGGTCCTCGTCTCCAGGCCGTGGACACTGGGTCTGAGTGGAGCTCTGCCCTGTTCTTCTCCCATGGGAGTCGTGTCGCAGCGGCTCCACAATACGTGTGCCCACCTGATTTGCGGCCTTCGTGTAGATATTCGCTGCATTCTGGTTCAATCGTGGCACCTGGCGCTGTTGCACCCAGTAGAGCTGGTTGGAGCATTAATTCGGAGCCTATGCTAAGGCTCCCTGTTTTATACCATGCTTGCACGGCCCCCTGCGAGGTCGCATTTTCCGCGCGTGTCGATTGAATATGTCGAAGCGGAGCGCTGTGAACAGTTGTTGCCCGTGAGGCACACCGCGTCGCTACCAGTGCAGTGTGACTTAGCCTGCGTCAGTTTGACAGGCAACCCAGGGATAGAATTTGAAGTCACAGGGGCGTCCGAAAAAAAGCCACGTGTCCGCTGCTCAAGTGGGTCTTGCTCCCCTGGTACCCTCCCCCAAGAGACCTGTTGGGGCCCTCGGTATGGGCTCGCCTGCCTGGATCGCCTTGCGTTGTTTGCTTCCATGTTGTCTGTGCGTCGAGGGCGCTCGGGCACTACAAAAAAGTTCGGCGCCAGCTCACCGCGTACACATCATTGCAGGGTCTGGAGCTGAGCAGGATAAACAGAATAAGGAGGATGACTCGGGAAACATGCAGAAATCATGATGCGTTGAGAACTCTGTGCGCCTCTGTCCTGCTTGATTGGTTTGCTCCCTTCTGGCACAGTCTACTTCCCCTGCCTTCGTCTGCGTCGCGTGCCATCTGTTTTTCTCTGCCGTCAGCGCTGCTTTCCTTGCCTTCCTTCCTGCGTCCTCGGCGTAGCATCCTCGCCAGCTCTACTCTCACCACCCCTCGCCCCGTTCTTGCATCCCTCCTGCCTTCATGGCCGTTCCTTCTTCTCGCTGTCTTGTCGTTTATGATAGTTGCCATTGCTTAAACTGAGCTGAAAAATGAAACAGGTGTGCCACATCTCTACATGTCTACATGCCCCTTGTCAGGCCGACCGCTCCAACTCTGTCCCCAAGATTTTTGGGCACTTGAAAGAGGCATCTGGCTGAATGTCAGCCAGACCTGTCCTGTGGACCGACGATTGTTGCAAGTGAGAGCGGTTCCAGAATACCAGTCTCCATGTCCTTGTTTCAGCTGAGACGCGGGCCGCCCGCAGGTGTGCAGGCCAGCCGTCCCAGCGCTCTGCAAGAGGAGAACCCCTTCTTGCGCGAAACGGGTGTGGAGTCGCAGCAAGTTGGTACATGATCTCAGCCCCCCAGGGAGGGCGTGGGAGAGGACTGGAGTCACCCTGGAGTCGGAGAGCTCCACTGACTTGAACCCCTCCGCCTCGTGGCCCCGCTCTGCCATCGATCGTCGGCGCTCTGGCCCTCTTCCAGGGCGTCGCGTTCCGTCTCCACCCCCTTGCGGAGGCAGACGGCCAGGGGGGGACCAGGGAGGCATGAGGCAGTTGCAGGAGAAGGAGGAGGGAAGCAAAAGGCGGGAGGAGAAGGAGGGGGGACGGATGACTGGGAGGACGGTGGGGTGATGATAGAGGAGGGATGGGAAAGCGGAGGGGGGGGAGAGAAAAGAGGATGCAGGAGGAGGAGGAGGTGGCAGGAGGATGAGTTTTCTGCCTCATCAGTGTACCCCTGGCCCCCATTTCTCCCCACTCTTCCTTCCCACCTTTCTCCTTGTCCTCACTCCCTACTCCCTTCCTCATTTGCCCGTAACAACGTTGGCTCAAGTCGCTCGGTTGTCCGCGGCAGCAAAAGGATACCATTCATCCGCGGCTGTTTCCATTCATTCGCATGGTCAGCCCCAGGCACGTGCTTGGTGTAGTTCGCCCCCCCCCCCACACACACCAGGCCTCCACTCGGGCCCTGAAGTTCGCCTTCCAGCGCACTTCTGCCACCACGCTGTGCACATCCTCCAACTAGACATTCAGCTCGGCGTCAGGCGTGGGCAACACCGCGGATATGCCGCTTATGCCGGTCCGTCCGAGTGGACAGGGGAGAGGCAGTGGAGTCAAGCGACGGCTGAACAGCGCAGGCAACGTAAGCGCATCCAGGATCATGTCCCCACGACCCCTCGACCAGGGAGGCATAGATGACCCCTCGACCAACGCCAAGGTCACATCCACATCTAACGCAGCAGAGCTCCGCAAGTGCCAAGCGATTGTCAAGTGTACGCAGGCCAGGCTGGACAAGCGCACCTCTGCCCGATTCGATAGAAAGTCCCAGCCCCACGGTACGTAGGCCATGGAGGTGGACGCCGGCAGCGCGTCCGATTCGGCTCGTGTCAAGGAGCTGGAAATCTCGTCCAGTCTGCGGACCCGGGTCCTGTGGGGCCGAAGCCGATGGTGATCGCCCACGGCACAGTGTTCATGGCCCTGGCTCGTCCGCTGTTCGGTGCAGGCCATTGAAGGCGGTAGTGCGGATTCCCTCCATGTGCCGAGAGCTTGCTGAAGGCAGAGGCCAGGTGCGAATCCGATTCCCATATCAAGTGCCCTGGCCCGGGCCGTGGAACAGCCTGGGCGGGGTGATGGTGGGGGAGCATGGGCATGCTGCTGCCGTGCACGGGGCGGGTGGCGAGACATGATCCGAGAGGGAGGGTCATCGGATGTCGCGGTCGGGCCCGTTGTTTCTTTTGTATTGGGTGTGGCGTTGGGGCGGCTCCGGGGTCCCCAGAGCTCGAGGCCCGTGGGCAGGTCTGCCCAGAGGCGCCTCTCGGACGCAGCCCTGCGGCGCGCCCGTGTCTGTCTGGCTCGTGGGTGGAGAGCTTGCACGCCCAGCTACAGCGGGCCAACCAGCTTGCTGCCAGACTCGCTGGATTTTCGGAGGCTCGGAGCTGGTGGATTCCCGCTCTGAGCTGTTCCAGATGTCTTTCTGTCCAGGCCAGGTCCCATGTGACGGCGCCTGTCCCTGTGCCAGTGTCCAATGTCCACTCCCCTCCTCGTTCATCCGACCTTTCTTGTCACACCCTCTCTTCTCTTTGGCTCCTCCCTTGCTCCCGCTACTTCCCCTCATTATTGCCCCCCTCACCCGTGGCGGCATCCAGGCTCTGGACGACTGGGTGACATCTTCGGAGGCCTCAAGGCGCCTTTCCTCCTCTGCCCCCTCCTCTTTGGTATTGAGCCGTGCTTTTGGCTGTCGTCGCACGCCTCGATCGAACCCAGGCTCGCAGCGACACCGATGGGCGGTCCAATATGACCTCGGGCATTCACTGGCTGGAAACTGTCGCTCCAATCGCGCGGGTGCAGTCGCGATGAGAAAACGTCGACGTATGGAGGGAGGAGGGGGAGGTGGGAGTGATGAGGGATAACGAAGCAAGGGGGAAGGCAGCGAGGAGTGGGAGGGATAGTGGACGAGGGGGATGGAGCAAGGAGGAACGAGAGTTGTTGAGGAGGGAGGACGGAGGAAGGGAGGCGGAAGAAGGTCGGAGGAAGCAGATGGATGCCCCCTCTTTTTCACACCTCACCCCATACCCATTCCTTCCTCATCGCTTTATCCTCTCGCTGTCCTCTCTCCTCCTCACCCGCTTCCGTTATTCCTCCGCGTTCTCTTCTCCATCCTTTTGATTGTTTTCTTCCTCTTCCTCACCTCTCTTTCGATCGCCTCCTGCTAGCAGTCTCCTTTCTCCCCTGATGCTGCCTTGGTTTGCCGCCGCCTCCCCCGCGTGCAGTTTTCCACGCACGATTCCGAACATCGGAATTCTGCGTGTGCGTGTGTGCATCTGTGCCTGGGCAGGCCGGCGCGCGCCTCTCGCTCGACCTGCTCTGTGCCGTGCCGTTGCGCGCGTGGCCGCGACGTAAAACAGTGTGTGTGTGTGTGTGTGCGTGTGCATGTATACAAGCATGTATGTGCGTATGTGCGTGAGTGTGTGTGTGTGCGCTTGTGTGTGCGTGTGGTTTTCAGTCAGGAGGTTTCCGGTCCTTCAGGTATTGTGCCCTCGTTGCCGCGTTGGTCATGTTTCAGGGCCGACGTGGTGTTCCCGTCGTTCACACTTGCGCTCTCGCCCCAGAGCGGGCCGTACTTCTGTATCCAATTCTTGCCTCCTCTTTGCCGTCCCCTCTTGGCCCCCTCCTCCGCTAATCTTTCTGCTCCTCCTGCTCATGATTCTCATCGCCTTCATCCCTATCACTCCGCATGGCTTTCCCGCTTCGTCCAACTAATCCTCCTGCTCCACTGTACAAAGCATGAGGGGGTTGGGCCTGTCTTGGTCTCTTTCCTAGTCATTATTCAAAGGATATTCGCCGTCGCACCGTCGGCTTTGCTTGGCTGGCGCGGTGTATTCATCTATCGACATTCCCCCCCGGGGCCGTCGCACCCTCGGCTTGGCTAAATTGCTGGCATTCATCTGTCGATCTATCTGTGACCCCCCCGCCGCCGTCGCACTGACGCGTATTCGTTTTCATTTTGTTCTGACCATTTATATATTTGGCCCCAGGCGCCGTCACACCGGCTTGTCTGCGCGTTTATGCGGAAGCCTGCCATATGTCACCAAGTGCGCTCGGTATTTCCAGTGGGTTTCTTTGTCAAGGGTCCTGGACGGAACATGTTTGGGCACGCTGCCAAGTGATTCTCCATCTGAGCGCGCGCAGGAATGTGGGGTGGTTCTTTGGGCGATGGGAATCGCAGGAGGGTTTCGGGACGGGCCCTGGGACCATCCAGTATCACGCTGGGAATCAATGTCCAAAACAACGTTTTGAATGGGACGGCGTCATCTTGTTTTGAGGCCCTGAACGCAAGTGACACAGCTGGTGCTCCTCAGCCGATTTACATATCGGGTGACGCATTCGCCCGTGCACCTGAGTGGTGCATGCCTGCTTCATACGGGAAACGCATTGGGTTGGACCCAGAATGCACCTGCATGGTGCCCGCGTCACACGGGGAACGTCCTGAGAGTGAAATGCTGCGCCCCAGGCTGGGGACTTAGAATTTATCCGGAATGCCAGTTTTTCTCAACCAGTTTTCCGTGGTGACCGTCGTCTTAGTGACCGTGGAGGCCGTGGCGGCTGTAGCGGCCATGGCGGCCGCGGTGGCCGTGGTGGCCATCGCGATGACCGTTTTGGCCGTGGTGGCCGCGGTGTCGTCTGTAGCACCTTGGGAGACCATGGGGGGGCCCTGATCACGCTATCAGTTTTGAGACCGTCGTTAGTTGCCGCACTTTTGGTAAGTCCAGCGCAGGCGGGGTTCATCTGTCAGACCACCCTCCGTCGCCGTCGCGCCGCGCGGGGGGGGTTTGGAGGCCGAGCTGTGCATCTGTCGCTGCCCCGCCAGTGACTGTCGCGCCGTTGGCCAAGCCAATGTATGCAATTATGTAAAGTCCATCTGCCTGGCCAACCCCTGTCGCCGTCGCACCGCGCGGGGAGTTTTGGAAACAAGCAAACTGTTTCTATCTCGCGGCCTCGGCCTGGCTGGTCGCTGACGCACTGTTGGCCAACCTGCGTGGTTATGTAATTCCCATATGTCTGGCAGCCCACCGTTGCCGTCATCGCGCGCCACACGTGCTTGAAGTTGATTGTCCATGGCGCGCCAGCGGCACGTCGCCCCAACTCACTTTACGGATTTATGTTCGCCAACGTGGGCCCAAGCCGTGCACTTCTAGTCATACTATACGCTGTGCAGTTCATGTGGAGCACACTACGCGATGCAAATCATCCTGTCGAACTTGAACTTGCCAAGTCCATTGCTCGCGCAATCATCCCATCCACCTGGCCGCAACTTGGCTTGCAAAACCCATGCGCCGGCGATTTCGATGCTTTGCTGTCTGGCCAGCGCTGGCTAGCGCAGGCCAGCGCTGGCTGGCGCATCGCTGCGGCCGCGCTAGCGCGCGCAGGCTCGCGCGCTGAGCAGCCTGATAGTCTGGCGCGACCGAAGTGGCCGCGGTGGTGCTGACCGGTGGGGACTTCCCAGTGCGTCTCGCAGGCCGCGCTGACGCGCGGGCACTTCATTTCAAGTCGGTGCCGCGGGCGATCACGGTATCATGGCGACTTCGACGACGGCAATTGCGGTGATGATAATAGCAATGTTGAGGATGGGGATGACGATAACGACGGAAAGGCGCCGATGCTGATCACGCCGATGACGATGATTGTGTTCACGTGTCGATGATGAAGGATTTCGCAAGATTTCGACATGCGCGCGCGGCCGACGGGCGCGAGTGGTGCCCCCCACCCCCCAGCATGCGGGCAAGGGCGTTCGAGAGATTTCGACATGCGCGCGCGAAGGGCCCGCTTGGTCGAAGTGGATGTAGCAGCTGCAGCAAATCATTTTTGGGTTCAAGAATTCGAAAACGTGGATGGTATACCTCTTCAAGATGGAGCTCTGTCTTTCTCTCTCTCTCTCTCGACCTATCCTTGCACATTTTGGCCCTGGCCCTTGGCAGTTCTTGTAGCTAGAAGCAGCATGGAAGGTCAATCTGTTACAGAAAACAGGGCCTCGCCTGAATGACAGGCCCACGACACATCCGGCATTCGTCTGTCAAAGTGGGGGCGTCTTGCAGCCGAAGGGAATCAGTGATTGTAGGGACTTCTGAAGGGGGGACGTGGTCCAGGAGGGTGTATTGCAGCATTGTTGATGCCGCTGGGTATCCCCCTGGTCCCCCATCCCTCCTCCCCTTCCTCGCCTCGCCGCGCTACTCGCGGTTGTCCCACTCTCCCACTCTCCCTCTTGCACGGGGACGGCATCAGCGACCACGCCCCTGTGCTGGTCAAGTGGATTTGGCGCCAGCTACGTCCCGGGGGCCCATCAATGCCTGCTCCGATCCACCCCGACGTTGTCAATCCGCCAGTGTTCAAAGACCAGCTGGCCCAATACGTTGCAGTGCTAAACCTTCCGTCGCGGACGCCGCCTGGCATGTACCAGGTCTACGTGCGGGCGATGCAAACGGCGGCGGCGGAGACACGTGATGTGCAGGTGCGGGGCATAGTAAGGTCGAGGCGATGCACGGCGATGACCTCAGGCTTGTGGCGCGGGTGGTGGTTTGCCAACATGTCGCGCTTGCGAAGAAGTTTTTCCTCCGCCACCCTTGGCTACATGAGCTGGTGGACGCGGACGTGACGAGGCACATGGTGGTGCTGAAGGCCAACCCAGAGATCCACATGCGCTTCGTGAAGGCGCAGAGGAGCGAGGCCATGGCCAAGAACGAAGATATCCAGACCGACCTTGAAGCTGAGGATGGGAACCTCCGGGTCTCTGACCGCCGTCGGCTCCTTGGACAGGGACGTGCCTTTCAACGGCGTGCTGCCCAGTGGTCGGTTCTTTTTCTTCGACGGCATCTTGTGGAGGTGGAGCTCCAAGATGGCAGGCTCGTCGCGTCGACGGTGGAGATCCATGAGGCGCTGGCGAACCATTTTGGTGGGGTCTTCTGCCCCACCGTTGCTGCTGAGAGGAAGGCTACGGCTGCGGCGTTGGATGGCGATGAGGTGACACCAGGCGGCTTGACGCGAGCAAGCTCCAGTCCCTCAGCAGGCGGCCCAGCAGCGGCGAACTCAAGCAAGCCCCAGTCCCTCAACAGGGAGCAGCGCTCCCGTGAGCGCGACGCCAAGGCCGTCCTTGCGAAATACGGCGTGAACGGGGTGGAGTGGGGTTCGCTGGCTCCTCCCTCGCTCTTGAATGTCGAGGAGGCCCTACGAGCACGTCCTGCAGCGCCTGGTGCAGTGCTCTGGCGTGGCTGAAGCAATCGGCGGGCTGCAGCGTGCTGCTGGAGGCGCAGAGGTGGCTGGCGCCGGGCCGTCCCATGCACAGAGGTTTCAACATGAGCATCTTCATTGTCCCGCCTAAAAAGGTGCTGGATGGCGACGGCCTGGAGGTAATCAGGAAGCCGAATGAGACGCGGTCTCTCATGTCCCGTTCCACGGGCCCGAAGGCCATCACCTCGGCGGTCAACTGCACGCTGGAAAAGCATGATCGATCGTGGAGTGTCGAAAGCCCAACGCGGCTTCATCCCTGGAAGGAACTTCGTTAAGACCTTAGTGGGAATCGACGCCATGTCCCGAGTGGCGCCCATGTGTGCCATGGAGCAAGCCCGTGGCTGGGAGGCGCCTGCCCTCCTGAGCTTCGGATTCGCGCACGCGTCCCCGTCGCCCCCCCACGACTTGGATGTGGGGGGGCATTGGAAGCTTGGCGGCTGCCACCTGGCCTGGAGCTCCTGCTGCGGGAGACCTACGCCAACGTGGAGGCGGTGGAGGCGGTGGAGGTGGAGGCGTGGTATCCTGTCATCTTTGTTGTCCTCTGCGGGGTCTTGCAAGGCGACCCGCTCTCGGGATCGATGTTCGCAATTGGCGTGCGGCCGTTCGTGGAGGCACACATGCTGCAGCAGCTGGAGTCCAGAGCGCCAGGCCTGTCGCGATAGTGTGCCGACGACGTCCAGGCCCTCGCCTACGGCAGGAGGGGTCTCGACACGCTGGCGCGGTTCTTCCGCCTTTCGGAGCGCCTCGCTGGTCTCCTGATCCGGCCCAAGAACTGCGCGACCCCCTCTTTCTGGGCCTCTTTCTCGGCGGAGGTGGAGGAGCTGATGAGAGAGTGTCTTGCGGAGGAATGCGGCTGGGGCTCTTCCGGCGTGGCGCCGTACGTGGAGCTGCTTGGCTGCCCCATTGGTCCTGGCAACTCGCTGGAGATCCAAAGGGCCGCGCCCCTCGCTCGCCTCCGCGAGAGGGTACTCGCGCTGGCGGCGTCGCCACTGGCCATGACGGCCGTCTTCCACGAGTATGGTCGCCGCTGTCTACCTGTGCTCTCTTACAAGGCGCAGCTCTGGCCGACGCCGCTAAACATGATTGCGAACGAGCGTGTCCTGCTGCGCCGCCTGGCGCGATGTCCGGGACGGCTCTTCAAGAAGAACATGTTCTACGACCTGGAGGTTCTGGGCGGGCCCCGCTGCGCGCCGATGGGGGACTACCTTGCTGCGTCCATCATGCGCGCGGGCGCGGCGACGCTGAATCGGTTGCAGGTGACGGGGCGCCACCTGCGTGAGGTGGCCCAGCGTAGGCTCCTGCTCGCGCGCAGCCTGAAGGGCCAGCCCTGACCCGACTCGACTGGTGGGAGGGCCCGCCCCTGCCGTTACGCTCGAGCGCGCAGCGGCTGCTGGGCGTGAGCTGCTCGAAATGAGCAGCGCCCCCCGGACGGACGGAAGAGACGTGTCCAGCGTGAATGTTGCGACGGCCTGCGGGCCTCAAGGGGCGGGAGTCTTCCGAGTCTGGTCCACGAACCGTTCCCCAAGTGGTTGGTTTGGTGTTTCCCCCCAGGAGGCTGCTGCAGAGGCTTGGAATGAGGTTGAGCAGGTCCTGGTGCGTGCCCCCCTAGCTGGCGGTGCGCCTGCAGCAAGACCTGACTCGGAGGTTGGGTCGCAGACGCCCGATTCCAGAATCAGGACCGACGGTGCTGCTCGGGCTGCGACTTGCACGACAGCCTTCAGTATTACTTATGCTGTGCGCCTTTCAGAGAGCTGCAGCGTCTGGCTCTATGCCACCCGTCGCCCGATGCCCCTCTTGGCAGATTTGCCCTCGTCGGTCTGTCGATGGATTCGACTCGAGGAACGGCGCTGATGTTCCACTTGTACCGCCTTTTTCACCAGGAGAGGCGCGCTGCCAGCAGCGTGTCGTTCGTCCCCTCGGCCGCTCGCTCGATCGAAAAAGCTGTTCGGCAGGCTCCTGACCTCCCCCCTGGAGACGATTATGGCTTTCAGTCGCGCCGTGCTGCAAGGGAAGGGTATTGGACTTTCCTGAGGACGCTCCGCCTCCTGCTCCCTCCATAATGTCCCCTCCCTTTCCGGATTCCCGCCTCCTCCCCCGGCCTGTCTCAGTGGGCTGCGGAAGGGGTGTGTGAAGCGGGAGAAGGAGGAAGAGAGGAGAAACAGTTTGAACACTATGAGGACGAGGGGGGCCGTGGATGTAGATCGAGGTGAATGCCGCTGAGGAAAATGAGGGTGTTCAGGGTAGGAATGGCAACAAGACGAGCAGGTAGAGGTGTGGTGGCAGGTGGGCTTACCGGCATTCATTGCAGACTATATCGATGCAGTTGGAAACGTCAGGCAGCTGATGCCGTCGCAGATCCGAGCGAGCAGAAGTGGTTCTACTTGGACCGCACTGGCCAGGAACTGGTTTGCTTATGTGATTGGTTTAGCATTGTACGTCGGGGGTCTTGAACGGAAACGTCCCAGTCAAGGTTTGTGTTCACGCGTTCCGTGTAGTTTGCGCTCGGCTCTCCTGAGGCATCTCGTCTGTTTGCCAGATTGAAGTATCGAGTATGCTGTAGTTTTTTGCTGCTGTCATCCTTTACCTCTTCATGTACCGCCTCTGCCGCCACCTCCCATCTGCTTCCTCATCCTCCCCATCCGCCTCCTACTACCCCTTGGGCCCTGGGCTCGAGTAATGTAACGGCTTTCCCAGCTGTCAGCCGCCGTAGCGAGCGAGAGTGTTTGGACGATGGGATATGAGACTAGGCAGGAGGAGGAAGGATGAGGGGGAGTTAGGAGAATTTCATGAGAGTGGGGGAGGGAGAGAAGGAGGCGAAGAAAAAGGAAGATGTCGAGGAATCGGAGGATCTGGGAGACGAGCAGGAGGCAGGAGGGATGTAGCTAATCACATCCAAGCATGTTGGCTACGCCTGCTGGATCGATCGCTCACCAGGAAAGCAAAGCATCGAGCACCGCTCCGTCGATGCGAGGGCGCTTCCTTTTCAATAATCTGCCTTTCCAGCGGTCTGGGAGGAGGACGAAAAGGGCAGCTGGAGTAGGGAGGCAGGCAGGGTGGGGGGGAGGAGCTCTGACGGTGACAACGTGTGGTGGCGCCTTGCCGGGCAGCTCTCTTGGGGACACGGCCGCCGCCATGAGAGGCCCTCCTAGGGGAAGGGCCACAATAAGAAAGGGAGGGAAGGAGGGAGGATTGAGGACGGAGGGCAGGAGGCAAGGGATTTGGGAGGGAGGAGGGACGAGGAGGAGTAGGGCCGAGGAGGAGGGACGAAGGTGGAGGGACGAGGGGCTGAGTGAGGAGGAGGGACGAGGGTTGATGGACGAGGGAGCACGAGGAGGGGTAGAGATGAGGAAGGAGGGAATAACGGGCTGCTCGGAGGTTTATGACTCCCACCCCTTTGTTTTTAAATTCAGACTGGCCAGGATGGAGGGGAGAACGGAACAGGGACGAGGATGGAGGAGAAGAGAGGCTTGGAGGATGGAAAAGAGAGGAAGGAGGCAGAAGGAGGAGTGCATGGCCGTATGCAGTTCATCGGCCCAGGACGGCGTGGATCTGATGTTTTCTTGCCCAGGTCGTTGCACACCGACATGACCGCTCGCACAGAAGGCGCAGAAATTAAGGCATCGGGTTGCCAGTAGGTGCCCCGATGGAGGGTTTCGGGGACGTTCAACGAAGTTTGAGATCAACGAGCGAAGTGTCTCTGGACCTCTTTCACCAATAGGCCTTGCCATTTGAAATGGCTGTATTCGCCCTGAGGGTACTCGTGCTGCCCCTCCACCGCTACCTCCTGGCGTCCCGACCCATGGAGCGGAGCGACGAGTTATCCTTTCGCTAGGCATAGCGTGTCGCCGGGGCCGCCGCCGCCGACGACGAGGACGATGTCGACGACGACGACCACGACGACGACGACGACGACGACGACGACGACGACGACGACGCCGCCGCCGCCGCCGCCACCGCCGACGACGACGACGTCGACGACAACACGACGCCGCCGTTCCTTCCGCAGCCACCTTGGCTGAAGCCATTCTAGTCCAGCGCTCCAAGGCTCTCCGTAAGCTGTTTTGCGTTTGGCGTGGATGTCTCGAGAGCCGCCCCCTGTGCCCTCACAAGGCGCTCGGCGGACGTCGAGGTGGCCGTGTTGTCGGGTGTTGAGGCGCGCTCTCCGACAAGGGGAGATATGAGGCACGTTCTGTGTGAGCGGTGTGCCGAAGTGTGCAGGGCGACGTGATGCAAACGTGTTCATTGGGTCCGTAGGTGGAGCTTTCTTCTGGGGAGCGATCCGTGTGAGCGGTGTGCCGAAGTGTGCAGGGCGACGCCATGCAAACGCACACTGGGGCCGCAGGTGGGGCCCCCTGTGATGCACGAGCCGTGCACTGGCTGCGCACGAGGAGGAGGAGGAGGAGGAGGAGGAGGAGGAGGAGGAGGACCAGTGTAAATCCAAGGCTCATCAACGATGTTTGGACACACCCTCCCTCCAAGCTTCCTCTTCATATACCGCATACAACGGTTCACTTCCACTGAGGGAAGTGCCCCGTTGGGAGACAACGGTGCGAAACTCCTGTAGAGTGCCAAAATACCATTCTCAGGACTTCAACGCCACGGGTCAAACTGACGGTTGCGTCTTGACACTCTGAATCATGCCAGAACGCCGTTCTTGGGATTCCAATACCGCGAATCAGCGCAACGGTTGCGCCTTGACAGCCCTGGATCGCTGGAAACACACAATTCAGGGAAGGGTCGCCATGATATTCCGCGCGGCTCTTGCACATGTTTGAAACGACTTTGCGCGGCGCTAAGGCGAGAGCCGCATGTTGAAAACAACCCACCCTAAATCCGTGAAATTCTTGCACATGTTCAAGACGACTATGCGCGGCGCTAGGGCGAACGCCACACTTTGAAAACGACCCGCCCTCAACTCGTGGAACTTTCAAAACAAAGTAAGATGAGTGAGCGCGGCGCTTAGGCGAGAGCCACATTTTGAACCGCCCCCCGCTATCAATCCGCGAAGCTCCTGCAATTTGTTAAGATGAATTTGCGCAGCGCTGAGGCGACAGCCACATATTGAAAACCATTCGCATTCAACCCGTGATGAAAATCTTCTGCAAATGTTGAAGTCGTTTGTGCGTGGCGTTGAGGCGAGAGCCACATTTTGGATGCGGGCCGCCCTCCTGTGAAGTTGTTCCCGGCTTCTAAGCTTCAGGGTCATATATGGTAAGGAAGTCTCAGGCGAAACGCCTGGCCCTCCCTTCGACATGCCTCGGAGTGCGTTATTCATAAGAAAGTGGAATGGAGGAGGGAGGAGGAGACGCGCGTCGGCTTCCGTCTGCACAGCGTGGTCTTCGTGGAATCGTGCGCACTCTAGTTCGAGGCAGTGTGGATTCGGCACGTGTCGGGCAGTTTGGTTCGACGATGGAGCAGGCCATTTTTTGAGTGCACCGATCGGGCTCAAATGTCATTGGTGTTCGAGTCATTGCGGGATCTGACCAGTCCAGCGTATGGTCGGAGTCACCTCTTGGTCATCGACGGGCCTCAGAGAGGTGATCGATGTTCTTGCGTGCATACGTATATGTTCTCTTCACTTCGCTTTGCTGCTTAACGTGTTGTTCCGTGCGGAGGTCTGGAGTTCTGCAGCGGTGCCACCTTCACGTGTCTGACACTGGAGTCATTTAGTCTCACTCCTCGGTGGAATTCATGTTGTCTTTGTGGTGTGTTCCTGGACATGTTGACTGACGTTCTACCCAGGGGTACGGGAGGAGCCGTAATGGCATGGCCGTGACCTTGACCGATCCCGCAGTTGGGCGTACGTCAACCGTGTATGTGATGCCTGGAAGGAGTGCTCATCGTGTACTGCTACACGTTAGAGGGACTCGTCTGTGGCTTCTTCGTGTTCCACAGGCTTCTCGGCTTTTACCGTGCGCGGGCGTCGCTGTGCCTCGAAGTCGCGTCGCTTAAGAGGGCTTGGGTGGCATTGTAGCATCTGGTATATCTACGCGACGGGTGCAATTCCTGCAGTCTCCCTCACTCGCCTCCCTTCCCAACATTTTGTCCTACTCCTCATTATCCTCCTTCTCCTTCTCCCCCTTCCTCTCTCCCTCCCTCTCCCCCTCCACCCTCGCTTCCTCCACCTTCACCTCCTCCACCTTCTCTACCTCCGCAGCGACTTGCACCCCCCCATCTCTTCCACCTCCTCCTCGTCCCTCGCTGGGATTGACCACGCGTTCGCCCCTTTTTCGGCGCGTTGTCATCCTCGCCTCCGACCGAGGTCGGGGCCGCGATCCGTTGGCGCAGATGGGTCGTTCTCCGACGGACTCTGGCAGGCGGTTACAGTGTTCGCACAGCTGGTCGAGAAACTAAGCGCAGCGGGTGGTAATCCCCGAGACAGATCCTCCTCGGACCCAAGCATTGGAGGGGTCAGACATCCACCAAGAGCACTAGAACGGCGCAGGACTGTGTAGAAACACGAGAACATGGTGCAAGACAGCGACAACAAAGTGCAGACAGTGCCATCTCAGGGCACGCCTCAGCTGAGCTTCAAGATTTCCGCTGTCCAGGGGCCGTCGCCGAGTTGGCTCAAGCGCGCTCGGCTCAGCTGCTTTGGGGGGCCCAGCCTCGTCCGTCACCGCACCTCTCGATACGCAGACCATGATTGCATACACGGTGCTCCTGTCGGTCTTCCTGCAGTCGGGGGCGGAGCTCCTGCCCAGCCCCGACTCCTGCCTCATCCAGATCACCTCGGCGGCCGAGAGCGCCGAGCGGCAGAGACCCCAGACCACGGCGCCCCCGACGGCGGCCCCGACGCCGTCCCCGACGGAGGCGACCGGGCTGCCCTGCCCCTGCCTGAAGGACGCTTGCTTCGAGGCCTACGACCGGGATTCCGACCTGTGCCTCAGAGAGGAGGAGTGTGCTGTCCAGGCGCCGCTGACGAACTGCAGCAGCACGACCTGGGATCTGGACGGGGACGGCTGCGTCAACCTCTCCGTCGAGTGGCCGCTCATCTTCGACATGACGAACGGCAGCGTCTGCCCCGTGGAGGCGAGGGCGGACCCGCCGGAATGCGGGGAGGGGTACTACCTCGACGGGAACCCGGTGGCTTGCATCCAGTGCACAACGGGCGCGACGCGTCGGCGACGCTCGTTCGAGTGCTCCGCCTGCGAGTCAGGAGCTTTCGACGCCGGTGACTACGACGACTGCCGCGACGGCAGCTACCTACCGTCTGATGTCGGCGCGGGAGACATCAATATCCCAGTTACTCCGATTGACCCGCCGCTGGTGCCCGGCGACTGCATCGACATCTCCTCCATGTCCGAGTCTGGCGCATGCAACCAGTCCGTCGAGACGGTGTGCGTTGAGAGCGTGGGTCCTGGCAATGAGGTCACCCTCAAGACGCCCCTGCAGAACAACTACACCAAGTACGCAGGCGTCATTATCTCGTGCACGACGGTGGACGGGACGGAGCTCAGCCGCAAGCACGATTCTAATGGAAATTGTGGATGCAGGTCGGCGACCTGCGACACGACAACTATGTGCTCCATCGGTCCCGACAACTGCACAGCCACGTGCATCCCGACCGGCCCGTACCCGATCCATCCGACCCCGGCTCCGACCGTGGGCGCCAAGGGCGACCCGCACCTGGTCAACCTGCAGGGCGAACACTTCGACATTAACCACGGCGGGGACTTCGTGCTGCTGCGGTTCCCACAGGACTCCGCGAAGGACGCCGAGCTCCAGGTGTTGGCCACCGTCCAACCGGAATTCAAGAAGCCGTGCACCACGTACATCACGCGGGTCGAGCTCTCCGGTTTTTGGTTGGGCAACGTGTCCGTCCAGGTGCGTTCCTACCTCCAGGCCCACCCCGGCCACGAGGGCGCCCACCTGGGGGCCCGCATCCTAAGCCCTGGGGGCGGAGCGGCACCCTGGCAGAGCATGGAGGCCTTCCTTGCCGACGGCCACGACCTGGTGCTGTCTACGCCGCACAGCAACTTCCACGTGTTGCTGTCCAAGAGCCAGTGGTTCCCCAAGAAGGAGATAGTGGTAGGCGCGCCCACCGTTGCTGGGATGTTTACGCTGAGCGTCCAGAACCGCAATGCCCCGTCGCCCGCCAAGATCGTAATCCGCCAGGACTTGCCCGAGCAGGAACACCTGAACCTGGCGGTCAAGCGCGTGTCTGCGCTCGGCAGGGTAGACGTGGGCGGCCTTCTCGGCTTCGACGCGCACCCAGCGAGCCTGGAGTACGTCTCGGGCAAGTGCGAGCACCACAGGGCGACGGAGAAGTACAGCGTTGAGAGCCAGGAGGACAATGAGTACTATTACAGGCCCGTGTGGAAGCAGCGGTGGCGACAGGAGCCTCACGGCTGAGTCCGAGGTGGAACTAGACCGTGGGCTAGAGCTCACCAAGCAGTTCGATGCTGAAGTCGGGTTCGTGGAGAACGAGTCGAAGAGGCAGCACTGGTCCGTGCTGCAGGAGAGCAACTCTGTGGAGCACCTGGGCGTCATGTGCGACCCCGCTCGGGCTCGCATCCCGATCACCCCCGGCGGAGGATGGTCAGAGCTCGAGGCGGGAATCCAGATCCTCAAGACCTTCCCTGGACGTGCTGACGCGCGGGAGCGTATCGCCCTTGCCTACCTCCGCCCTTTATGGATGTGGGCCACGCCTTTCCTGGAGCCTGTTCCTCAACCTCTCGTAGGAGCTCTTTTCCAGGCAATTCAGAAGACTCGCTGTTCCTGGTGGTGTTCAAGCCGCTGGTGGGCGAGGAGGGCCTACCTCCACCCGCGCTTCTCCCCAGCCCTGCAAACGCTGAAGGTCATTCGATCGCCGCTGTTAGTGTCGAGTGTCCATCTACGTCATGCCCTTCGAGCTCACTTTGAGTGCCTTGAAGTTGAATATGTGGATCACAATTCCGATTGGGGTGTCAAGCTGCGTGTGCACCCTGACGATGACCAGCGAGTTTAGGATATCACGGCCCCACTGAGGGATGAGGACGACACTTCCTGGACCACTACGCCAGCTGCGCACCATGCAGTGCGAAGCATTGCGAGAATTCGGATCTTGAACTTAATCCCATGTTCGAGACAGGACTCGGAAGGCTCCGAGGATATTGATGTGGAGATCTGCAGCCAGCAGAAGTGGAAGCGCTGGGAAAGGTCCCTCCCCCCTGATGATGTGCAGTATTTGACGGTGTTCATGGGGGGGGGCATCCAGACAAGAACGCGCAGGGGGACCAACACGTGCTGCCGCTTCTGCGACCACCCGTGCCCGAGTGCCCGACACCTCTGGGTTGAGTGCCCTCGTTTTCAAGCTGTGCGAGTTCGACTCGCACGTGAACATGCTATCCCGCCGCTTTTCTGGGGCACCCAGCCCCGCGTCACCAGCGAGAGCGGCTGGGTTGTACGCAGTGCTCATCCTTCCCTGGAGATGAGGACCTCCATGCAGCTCGCGGCGGTGAAACTCGGGATCGAGATCTGCCGTGGGAATTTCGAGCGGGACCGCAGGTGAGGTCTCTTTGAGCTTCTACCTCTTAGTTCAGGCGTGGCTTTCATTTTCCTTCAGATGAAGCAGAAGCGGAGGCTCGCCTCACAGGGCGAGGGCGCGCGCGATAACGAGGCAGCTGCCGCCCTCATCGACAGCAGGGACTCGGGCTCAAGCCTGGCGTGCAAGTGCCCGACCGCGGGGGGGCCGTGGGCCGAAGGCGTCGTCATCGAGGAGCCGGCCGCGCTTTTCGCAGAGGCGTCCTGGGACTGAGGCCGTGCGCGATCTTGGCCAGCTGTCTCTCCGCGTTCGCTGGAAACGCCGTTTATTGCTCTTCCGCCTCGCCGCATGTGAGGGCCTGCCAGTCGCTCGCCTCGCCCTCTTACAGCGATGCGTTCCCAGATTTCCGGGTTTCCGCGCTGCGTTCGCCAGGGCTCCAGAGACGAGGGCCAGTTGTAAGCCAGTTGTAAGCTGGTGCTCCAGAGGCTGGGTGCTCCAAGTTGTAAGCCAAGCCGCCGACAGAGCGGCTCTGCGAGCATTCTTCTGCCCCGGAGTGCTCTGCCGCTGCTGTGGAGCGCACAGCACAGATCGCCGCAGTGGGCTGCTCGAGAAGCCGTGCGTCGCTTGCAGCGCGTTTGGCGCGCGGGCGGGGCGCAGCCTGCGCCCTGGCTCTGCCCGCGTACGCTTGCCAGCTCAGCGCGCGCTTGGCGCGTGGACTGGCGGTTTTCGCGATGACTGCTCCGCCGTTGCGCGCTGCTTCGCAATGACTGCTTCGCCGCCCAGAAGAAGGATTAGCGCTTGCCAGGGGCAGACCAGTCAGGGACGTGCCGACGCGGGCTGCGCGCACCAACCCACCATTAGGAATTGCAGCAGGACGCACAAGAGTGTTGAAATCGTTGTAGTGTTGGAGTCGTGGCCCAGAAGCGACCGCTGTTGCCGATGTCGAGGGGTAGCGGCTACGTTGAAAGATCCGTGTGATCCTTGGGGGTCAAAGGTGCATTCGGCGGCTTGAGAAATTGTTGAAATTGCGCCACGCAACCGCAACTTGGGAACAAAAGGGCAAGAGCATGTACGACCAGATCGCTGCCCTCAATGCATGGACAGTCGAAGATTGACCGGAAGCGGTGAGACGACACGGACATGGCACATCTCCTCGTCGGAATGTCACATTCGTTTGTGTTGTCAGGTCTGAACGATGTTTTTTCCCAACCCTCCTGCGTTGGGTTCTCGTTTTGAATAGAGCACTGCTCGCGCGAACCTGCCTTCTTTCCTTCCTTCCCGTCCCTCTCTTCCCCCTTGCCTTTGACCTCGCTCGTCGCTGCGTGCCAGCTGGGGGGGGCTGCTGGGGGCCGCGATCTGTGTTTCGAGGGCTGCTGGGGGCTGCGATCTGTGAAACTGTCGCCACTTTCGAGGGCTGCTGGGGGGCCCAGCACAGTGGCGCCCGCGGCGGACTCAAATCGGACCTCGCCATCCCTGGGGGGCTGCGATCTGTGAAATTGTCGCCACTTTTGAGGGCTGCTGGGGGGCCCAGCACAGTCTGCACCCGCGGCGGACTCAAATGGGACCTCGCCATCCCTGGGGGGCTGCGATCTGTGAAACTGTCGCCACTTTCGAGGCCTGCTGGGGGGCCCAGCACAGTCTGCACCCGCGGCGGACTCAAATGGGACCTCGCCATCCCTGGGGGGCTGCGATCTGCGAAACTGTCGCCACTTTCGAGGCCTGCTGGGGGGCCCAGCACAGTCTGCACCCGCGGCGGATTCAAATGGACCTCGCCATCCCTGGGGGGCTGCGATCTGTGAAACTGTCGCCACTTTCGAGGGCTGCTGGGGGGCCCAGCACAGTCTGCACCCGCGGCGGATTCAAATGGGACCTCGCCATCCCTGGGGGCTGCGATCTGTGAAACTGTCGCCACTTTCGAGGGCTGCTGGGGGGCCCAGCACAATCTGCACAGTCGCCACCCCTGGGGGGCTGCGATCTGTGGCGAGGCTGGGGCCCAGCACAGTCTGCACCTGCGGCGGATTCAAATGGGACCTCGCCATCCCTGGGGGGCTGCGATCTGTGAAACTGTCGCCACTTTCGAGGGCTGCTGGGGGGCCCAGCACAGTCTGCACCCGCGGAGGAAATGTGACCTCGCCATCCCTGGGGGGCTGCGATCTGTGAATCTGTCGCCACTTTCGAGGGCTGCTGGGGGGCCCAGCACAGTCTGCACCCGCGGCGGATTCAAATGGGACCTCGCCATCCCTGGGGGGCTGCGATCTGTGAAATTGTCGCCACTTTCGAGAGCTGCTGGGGGGCCCAGCACAGTCTGCACCCGCGGCGGACTCAAATGGGACCTCGCCATCGATCCCTGGGGGGCTGCGATCTGTGAATCTGTCGCCACTTTCGAGGGCTGCTGGGGGGCCCAGCACAGTGGGTACCCACGGCGGATTCAAATGTGACCTCGCCATCCCTGGTGAGCTGCGAAATGTGAAACAGTTGCCACTTTCGAGGGCTGCTGGGGGGGGGGGCCCAGCACAGTGGGTACCCACGGCGGATTCAAATGGGACCTCGCCATCCCTGGGGGGGCTGCGATCTGTGAAATTGTCGCCACTTTCGAGGGCTGCTGGGGGGCCCAGCCCAGTGGGTACCCACGGCGGACTCAAATAGGACCTCGCCATCCCTGGGGGGCTGCGATCTGTGAATCTGTCGCCACTTTCGAGGGCTGCTGGGGGGCCCAGCACAGTGGGCACCCACGGCGGATTCAAGCTAGACCTCGCCATCCCTGGGGGGCTGCGATCTGTGAATCTGTCGCCACTTTCTTACCTCGCTCGTCGCTGCGTTTCGAGAGCTGCTGGGGGCTGCGATCTGCGAAATTGTCGCCATTTTCGAGGGCTGCTGAGGGGCCCATCACAGTGGGTACTCAACGCAGACTCAAATGGGACCTCGCCATCCCTGGGGGGCTGCGATATGTGAAACTGTCGCCACATTCAAATGGGACCTCGCCTTCCTTGGGGGGCTGCGATCTGCGAAAGTGTCGCCACTTTCGAGGGCTGCTGAGGGGCCCAACACAGTGGGTACTCACCGCAGACTTACATGGAACCTCGCCATCCCTGGGGGGCTGCGATCTGTGAAACTGTCGCCCCTTTTCGAGGGCTGCTGAGGGGCCCAGCACAGTGGGTACTCTCCGCAGACTCATACTAGACCTCGCCATCATTGGGGGGCTGCGATCTGTGAAACTGTCGCCACTTCCGAGGGCTGCTGAGGGGCCCAGCACAGTGGGTACTCACCGCAGACTCAGATTAGACCTCGCCGTCCCTGGGGGGCTGCGATCTGTGAAATTGTCGCCACTTTCGAGGGCTGCTGAGGGGCACAGCGCAGTGGGCTTCCCGCACGTTTTTCTCCTGCTTTTCGTTCCCGACTCCCCATGTCCTCTTCGAGCCTGTAGTTGTCGCCCCTCGTTCTTGTATGGTTTTCCTGTGCATCATGCCATTGGCGCGTGTCCCAAGTTGCTTATATATCAAACAACGGATCCTGCAATTTGATTGTCCGTGCAAGTTTCGGCCAACTCCTCGTTTCCCATGATACAAATGGGTTGGGTACGTCACAGGGTAATTTTGTTTTCCTCTCTCTTCTCTCTCTCTCTCTCTCTCTCTTTCTCCCAATATGTCTACTCAGGTGATCTGTTGCCGCTTCTTCGCCAGCGCAGGAGTATGGACCCTTCCTCACGGAGAAGATGCGTGCCTGGTTCGTTCACGGCCACTTCCCGGTCCGCGACGATCTTTTGGTGGGGATACCGAGAAAGATTGGCAGGGGAAGCCAGACAGCCACCAGACATTACCAGCCAAAGAGCCTTGGTTCGCGTCAGAAGCCGCGCCGCACGCACACACACACAAACACATTACACAATGTTAATTAAAGTGTGGGCGCCGAGAGAATTACTTGTCAAATAGACGGAGTCGTTGCCCCGCCAAGGAAGTAATGCATCAGCGCATTCAGCTGCGTCAGCTTATAGTTGTGTTTGGTGAGGGCCACGGCCTGATTGAGGGGGATTTCGGGGCACGGTGATGAGCAGCTGGGGAGGAGCAGGAAGGAGAGGGGGTGGACGGGAGGGCTTGTATTTTGAGGGGCCCGACTTCGGGGAATGTGCGAATGTTTGTCGTGAAATGCGTTTGTGGGAAGCAGTGAAGTCAAGAGTCAGGGGCTCTCTCAGTGCACTTACCAAGTGGAACGCGAATAGTTCAGCGGGAGTCACATGCATGGTCAAAGGTGTTCCCCTCCCGCGTCGACGGCACATTGACAAGGTAAGACTTCGAAATGCCCTTTTCGAAATCAAGCAGTCGTACATCTGAGTGCGGTAAAAGCCATCGAACACACATGGGGCGCCCCAAAATTGGTCTCGCGTTCTACGGATCGAGAGGTTGACCTGTCTTCCCTAGCGAAAGGTTGGCAGAAATTTGCTGGTAGATGCAACATGAAGGAGCGTCCGCCAGCCGGCGGAAGCGCAA